CTGGGAATTTCAGAATTGCATCTTGAAGCATCAAGGGTGAGTAAAACACTCAAAAAGCTGTTATGACTCTGGAAGTGATGGGGTTTCTTTAAGTGGTGCTTGCTCTTAATGGCAAAGAGTTAGAGGAGTGTATCAGAAATTTTGCAGTGCAAAACGCGCAGATTCTGTAAGAGTAAAGCTTCTTGCAGGGCAGAAAGCCCAGAAAGGCAAAAAAAATTAATACACCAAAGGGAGAACAAGCCACCTAGCAAACATGCTACAGCAACGTGAGTGCAAGATTAGATACGAAGATGAAAATTAAACTGTCACATCTGACCTAGCAAGATTAAACTTTTCATTTTAAAGGAGTTTTCAAAAAAATATTCTAACACTACAGAAAAGCATAAATCTTTGTCTAAATGTGATCATATAAAAAAGTTATATTTTTCAGTTATGCAAACATAACGCATTTTGAGAGATCTCTGCGGTTTTTTTCCCTCAAAAGGTATGCAAAAGGGTTCAAAACAAAGACATAACACTATCAACTGCCAGCATGTAGACACCATGACAAAATTTGTTTTTTTATTGCTCCTATGTCCTGCCTATTTTCTAGTAATGTTCAAGGGTTGATACTGCCTTGAAATGACCTCACTACCTACCAGTTACCAAGAGAGAAGCCAGTGTTCCAAGAGCTGCAGAATCTTGGCAAGGAGAGAGTTACCTATTGCCAGAAGGAACGCATCAACTCAGCATATTTTCACCACAGCATATTTAAGGGGGGAAGGAGGAAAGTAGTCAATGAAATAAAGCTTTGCCTACACAAAGGCTTCTTAAAATGATAAGGTATGAACAAACATTTCTGCTCACCTCAGTGTATGGAGTTTTATACCAGCATAAAACTGATTGCACTAGCAAGGCTTATTTCCATAGTGAGAAGGAAGAAAGATGGGGGAACAGCTGTGCATAAAGATCCTGACCTTCGGTAAGAAAGCTCAGTAATCCTATCACCAATTGGTGAGTATCACTATAAAGAAGGTAGGGGAAGAGCAATTAGCATCCTAATAAAATTAGTTAATCCTTTTCTAAACTTGATAGCATATAATAATTGCCATCACCTTTCCCATCCTTCAGTCAGTGCAAAATTCACAATATTTTGTGAACTATAAAAGTAGTTCATCATGTGTTTTACCTTCATTCTGAAAATATGACTAGGTGGTCTATTCATTTTAGTCTTAACTAACTGAAACCTGTCATTTTCAACAAGTAGCAAGAAGGAATTAAAGCGTTTATAAAAATGATAAAATGTTGCTTGTGACTATTAAGAATAAAGAAACTATTCCTTCTACCAACTAGAATCTAATGTAAAAAAGCATGTGGCAATATGGAATTCTTATTCAACTTCTGGCACATGGTCTTGCTATAAACATTTTTAAGGCATACCCATAAACAGCCAATTAAGCACAGTAAGATGTTTAAAAATGAGCACAATTCCTAGGAATTTAGTGAGGCAGACCGCTGGCCAGAGTGTTTCTGTCCACAAGTATTCCATTATATCGTTTTTTTACTGAATCAGTGTTTTTGTTATACCACACAAAATGAAAACAGCTTCTTCCTTCATATTTATGATCTTGGATTTAGTTTGCCCTAATTCATTCAGTTAGATTTAAATGTGCTACTGCACATGGCACTAAGTTTCTTCCCCCATCATTATTTACACTGTTTGCAAGTCAGAGATGTGGGATGATATGGAAAGGATTTAATAAATATGTAAGTCAAATTCTTTCCTTCTCAATGGAGCCTCCAGGAAATAGACACTCAATAGCTAAACAATTATGTGCACTGAATCACTGAAAAGAACTTCAGGCAGTGCAATCTCAGCAATGCTGAGGAAACATGCAGTTTGAGATAAGCGTGGAGTGCATGCTTATCCACACTATTTGCTGGTCTTGAAGCACTCCATATACTATTACATTACCTGTCACAAATGGTGCATGCTGAATATACGTAGTTATGTTTACTTTTGATCAACCAAATTGGAATATACTGTTTCCTCAAAACATACACTGTTTCCTTTTACTCTGAACATGCCAAGCAGCTGGATCTTGGCAAGCAGACTAGTTACTTTACTGAGAGTTTGAACAATCTACAGCTTAGCTCTTTGAAAAAGTATTATATTTAACTCTGCTTAAAGATTTAACATTCATGTGCTAACAGTGCCAGATAAGTACAAAAATATCACACACAATCCACTAGAAAGCATGTAGCTTCTATGTGGAAGCCACCCTGGAAGTTCTGCAGCTTTGCACAATCTATGTGGCGTAGAATGCAAATACAGAGACTCCCCATCATTCTAACACTTTAAAGTCTAAAAGATACCTATTCCTTGGAGAACACAAGTATTACTGTATCTTCCAGTGTTTGTTTTTTTTAACGGTGAAATATTTAATAGTTTTCATGTAAAAAAAGTACTTTCTGCATAATGGCATGGAGAACCAGATGTAAATGAAGATTCTAATAGTTACAACTACTATTTAATCCACTCATTCTCAATCTCTTTTCAAAAAGAATTTGGATTTTTCACCACATTACACCTAAAACTTAAAATGCCAAGTGTTTTCATGTTTTACAGATGTACCTCTAAACATATTACGAGTATCTTTCCTCTACTCTTTAAGCAAGCATGTACAATTTGCCTATGCAACTATAACAGGAATTGTCTTTTCAGAAACTTACTGGATTCCTAACTCATTTTTGAATGCCAGCAACCATAGCAAGTCCAGTATTGCAGCCACAGCAAATGTGCAAGTAAATTATGAACAGCAGATCTTTGACAAGGAGAAAAGTAGTGACCTCGGGTGGCAAGCCAGCATCCTTGCAAAGGTAAGCTCATGCAAAACTAGCAGGTATATGAGGAAGCTTTGAATCCCACAACCCAGAAGTCATCGCCAAGGGAAAACAAAAATTTGCTGCAATTTAACAGTGCTTTGCGCAAGGTGACAAAATGTATAACCAATAAAACAAAAAGTATACAATAAAAAGGACACAATTCTGGCAATTTTTATACAAGGTACAGTTTTGCAGAAAATTTTTTAATCCAGACTAAGCAAAGATACTTACTCATCGACTTCATACACAAACCGTTTTACGATTGTCAATAGCAAGACTCTGACAAACATCTGTAAGAGCAGGGAAACTGTAAAAGCTAGAAATCTGGGCTTTGTTAATGATACTTAACTTACATTTAAATGTAAGTTGGTCTAGAGTGGTTCACATTTGGGGAAAGATTCCCATGAAAGGCAAGCAAATTTACCTAATAGTTTCTGTGATTCTCAATCCATCCACAAGTTGAAAAAGATTTTTTTATGTGTATATATATAAAAACGTAAGTCACACTACTTTGGCTCCTGCAATGAAGTAACTCACCAAATATTGAATATTGAGACTTCTGCTGTCCAATCTTTCCATAAAGTTTCACTGTGAATATACTTTTAATACTGGAAATAGTCTTCTAGCCAACTAAGCTGCTCTCTATGCTCTTCCCTTCCCAGTTCACTCAACTTTAAAATAAAATCTGTACAGATTTTTACTAAAAATATTTTCCTTCATTTTCTTTCAGGTCATTTTGATTATTCTTCCCATCACAAAAATAACACAGTTGGAGAGCTGATGTCCAACTGCTCCAAGTGTTTTATAGTTTGATAAGCCTGCCTAAGGGATGACAGTCCTGCATTTGAACTACACACACGCCCTTTCAGTTGTAAATCCCACCTTCTGAGCATTTGTGAAGATTGGAAGAAGGGGCAAGGTGAGAGGATGCGGGGATAACAGATATGAACAATCACAAGGTCACATTAACTTCTGTGGCTACAGTATCACACACCTGGGACTGACTGTCCACACAACCCTTACATCTGGTCAGAGTCACTACAAAGATTGAAATCTTGTAGTCATTGGCATGGTCTGTATTCCTTATTCTGTATTTAACTGTATTTGGTTGCATTAACACACTGCTTTGAAAGGACTAGTTAACAAGGCCAACTAGGTATGCCAGTATGCCTTTAGTATTCAACAGGTAAAAAAAAATAGTTTCATTCACAAATATTATCTTACATTTCCCATCAAATATTTAGATTACTGATGAACTTTTATCAGAGAACTTTTATAGTTCAAAGCTCTACACATAATATTCATAATGTATTCTTCCCTTGAAAATGTCACACAAGGTTATTATTCTGAAACTTGTTTTAAAATTATATGGTCAGGAAACATTTAAACAGGAACTGTCAATATTGACATATAAAGAAGCACTGAACATTTAAGTTTCATTTGCTTTGGCTTCTTTAAGGTCACCATTTTTAAGAGACTTTGTGAGATTAGCAGCGTTCTCACATCAGCAGTTAACTTTTGGACAAACTAGCAGCTGCTAGCCCAGCAATGGGCTAATTTGTTTCATGGGACACAGGTTCATCCAAACCTTTTCTGAGAAATACTGACACTTAAAAAAGTACATAAAATCTGCAACTGAATATAATTTCCAGGTGACAAAACAAAAGAAGAAAATAAACGGCAAAAAAGGGTCAAACTTGCATGAATGATTTCAGATCAGGTTTCACTATTTTAAAAAAAAGCAATAAACATCATCTAGATAAGTATTTTTGTAGCCTAGTAAGTTTTTGCAGTCTGAAAATAAAATTCAACAGTACAAAGCACTATACCTTCTGTAAATCACAGAAAATAAATGGTTTCTGAAATGTGTAACACTACTGTATTTATACTATAGTCCTTCTACATATGCTGTTAGGAAACTATGAATGATACTAATAAGAGATCAGGAATTCTTTGAATATACTCAGTACCAGATTTTGTGTACCAAAAAAGCAGTTTTTCACACAGGTGTGATTAAAAATCAAGATTATCACCTTCAGTGTGACATGCAATGTTTCTCTTTGCCATGAAACTGGAAGACAGCTGAGCACCATCACTTCTGAAATATACACTGCAGTGTCACTAGAGGTACTTACTGGCTGAGGCTTGAGGTTGAATGCGAGGTATTCCTCCATTTGGCACTTGGAAGTTTGAGTCACTTCTGCTGTTTTTCACAGACTCAGCTTGGATGTTAGATGTCCTGGACAGGTTTGGAAGACTACGCCTTAGTTTTTCTGTATGAAACAATATCAAGATACCACATGTAGTCTGATGCCAGACAAAGTTCAGGTTATGAACCCATAGTTGAACCTCGAATCTGTGTGACAAAATGTTAGCCATATAAAACTACACTGCAATTTAAGAGCATATTTTGTTACATTACAGTTCTTCCATTATCTTGAATTAAAGTTCTATATTATTCTCAGATCTATCATATACAAAGTATTTATATAAAAAAGCAAGAATACATTTTTCACCTGTGGTGAAAAAAGTCAAGCATAGTGTGTTTTGAAATTGAAACATATCTGGGTTGTGATTCACTGGCTTTTGTTCTACCATTACGGAAACTGAATAGGCAAACCTAATTTGCAGTTTTGCACACTTTTTGAAGTCTCCACCTAGAAAGTTATTTATAATATAGAACACTTGCCTGCAATTAAAAACACATAGTAATTTTTTGAGTCAATTCTCAGGACTGCCCAGTCCCATATCAGCACGTTATACAACAAATAACAGCCACCCACTTGGAAAGAAACTCTTCACACACAGCATTCAAAATTATTGAAGTGTCCAGTTATGCTTCATCTTTCACATATGACTTGACTATCTATTCAGCTAATACTGGTTCCTCAAGGGTCTTCTAAAATTTGTACCATTGCTCATAGAACACAAAAAGATTCCATTAAATATCTCTCAAGTCTAATGACATTCTGCATATCTCCAACCCATGCAGAGCTGGGTTGATGACATACTTCGGACAGAAGACTGCAGATGCCTTGTTAGGATGAGTGGCCAACCTGATTCTGTAGAGGGATGCAGTAAAGTACGCTAACCATACACAAGCACTTAAGATGAAAACAAAAGTAAGAATCTTCGCAGGCTGAGTTTTCCTACAAGTGTACTTTCTACACTTAGTACTGTTTGCATTGCAGTTGGTACATTGTTGAACCCTGTCAACCAAATTTCCCTCTAACCACTCAAGAGAAAAAACCCAAACAACGTTTTTGGCTGCTGCTGTATCACCTCTGAATATCCAAGCAACATTCAACTGCACAAAAACCACTACAAGAGAATTCCTTAGAAGTGTTTCAGAAACACATGATAGCATGCTCTATTTTGATCCCGTTGGTATGTGGGATACCAGCTTTTGGTACCTTGCCTCTCATGGGATATTTTTGCTATAACTCATCTAGCATGCATGAAGACTTTCATTAAACCCTAGAAAAGAACAGGAAAGGAATTCTCAACTAAGTCACAATATAATTCATTAGTTTTTGTGTTGTACATTTTCCTATATACCTAAAACTTCCCCAAACTACTATTACTAGAGAAGACTTAAGCTAACCCTTCCAAAGATATTCTTGAACAGCTAATTAAATTTGTAGGATCATCTTCCCCACACTGATTTTCCTGATTAAAATTCTAAAATTTCTTAGTCAATGAAATTCTGTAAGTGGCATAGACCTCTGCTATATTAGGGGGAAAAACACACCCAGAAAATAAACTGCTTAAAAATGCATTTCTGCATCATCTCTACTGCAGACACTTTGCATCCAGCTTACCTGAAAGATGAAAAAATAAGGTGAATTCTTAATACCTAAATGTACATTATTTCTGAAGATTTTATTTGCCAGATAACAACTACATTTGTTAAAATGGGAATATGCTTGTGAAACTTCAGCCCAATTAAAGGAGTTTCTGCCAGATTGCTACCAGGAAAAAGTACATTCAAGAAGGAAAATCGTATCAGGATATGGTATTTTGTTCTATGCCAATATAATATAATTGTGTCAAGTTTACGGCAAACTTTATTACACAGCAGTTTGCACAGCTTTGAGATATCTAAAGTATCCAACATAGGCATGACTTAAGTACTAATATTTTTAAGGCTTTGTTCATGCTCAAAGAGTTCAGAGCCCTGCACTGCCAGAAGAAAGCATTCAGCTATCTCACAGGTTACAGGCATGCATAAATTTCCATGTTACTTTCATCTGACCACAGTTACTTTTGCTGCATTTTATTCTATCATCTGCAAGGCCTAACCCTACTGGTGAATGGTAGTTTCCCTTGGGCTCTGCTTTATTTTAGTGCATTTGCCTGCCAAAGATAGAACACTGTCACCACGAAACTCAATTACACCCAGAGCGACTAGATAACATCTAAAACAAATACAAGCCTATCAACTCATCTGACTGTAAGGGTTCCCCAGCAGAACTTAAGCTTTGCTTGCTCTGCTTTTTCTTCAACAACTCTGAGATTAAACCATGATGTTACACAGGTATATAGTTTTAGCATTGCACACTGACCAAAATCCCTTACAGGAACTACACAACTACTTGTATAATGAATTTGAGACAGAGCTTTTTACCTTCACTTTTGACATTACTAGTCTGCAAATCTGTAGGATGGCCTTGAAGCGAAAGACGAGGTTGCTGTAAACGGCTAATCATAGGTTGGGGTGACACTCTACTGTATTCTATGCTTCGAGCAGGTGATCGGGAGCGAGGTGAATTCCTTGGAGATTGTTTTGGTGAGGGCCAGGGAGAACTGCGAGGTGATGGTGAGAACCTGTTAACAGCAGGGTGCACTGTATGATGTGTGCCATCTTCTTCATCTTCTAAACTCTGAGCATCAAGCTCCTGATCACTGAACGTGCCTCGCCTTGTAGAATTGCAAGAAGAACCAGAACTACGCCGAGAAGCAGTTGCTGCATACTCTTGCCGGAGGCCTGGTAACAAGGAGAACATTGTTTACTTGCTTCCAGCCCACAAATGGTTCAAACTAGAGACAGCGCGTACAAATATCTACCCAGCACTCAAACTCACATTTGGCTCACCTTAACTCCTTTTATTTGAGGCATTAAATTAACTCCAGATTAGTACCAAAAAAGTTATGTACCAGCTGATAACGTCTTGAAGTAAGTAGGTGAGCTCATTCCTTTCCGTACCACAGCAATCATCAGTATACGTGTGTTGTGTACTTGTTCATCTCCTCTCCCAGGCTGGATACTAGCAACACAGGCTACTCCTTAATTTTGATATCATTTAACATTCTATAACAATTATAGCAGCCACAATGAAATGTCTCTTGCAATGTATTAGTACATGTAACAAAAAAAGCTATATGATAAGCTACCCCTAGAGAAACTAGAGTTGTTAGACCAGTGGTCTCTGAAGTGGGGTGCACGCACCCCAGGGGGTACACAAAACTATTCACTGGGGTGCAGGAAGAAAATTTTGTACTACTAATAAAGTAGTATTTTTAAAATAGCATTTATTTCATCTTTATCTCATCCTTTAAAAATTTCTATTTTTGTGTACATTTGTGTATTTTTGTGTACGTAATATATTAGTAGAGTAGTACATGTATATAATTTATAAAAAAAATACATATATTGGACATTTGGGTTTTTTTTTTCCACTGATAGGGGTACACAATAAAAAAGTCTAGAGACCACCTAGTTAGACAACTGAAATTCCTACCACTTTCTGCAGTCTCAGAGGGACAAAAAGACAGACAAAGTCTCAACTAAACCTATAATGAAACACAGACATCTACATAGGTGCTTTTCTTCACTATTCTTTGCCATATTGACTTTACATTTCGGTGATTTAAATCATGGTTTAAGCACTGATGTCAGCAAGACTGGATTACATTGGGAAGGCACATATCTCCTGAGAAGACTGGTGGCAGAGTCTAACGACCATCCTTTTAGCATATACTATATGCTACAAATTCATACTCTCTCTAGCATTTCTTTTGTCCACTGTTCCTAAAGAACACTTCTGCACAGCAACTTCCTTTCCTTATCCTGGAAGCAGAAGTCCTTAGCCAGCCTTCTCAGAAGAACTACATTTGTACATGCATAGTAGAATCTACACCCTTTTTCCA